GACACACAGATGCCTAGCAGGAGGTCAGCACGTGTGCTGCCAGCTTTGGGGAGGCTGGGCTCTCAGCACGTTATGTAACCCACTGCATCCCGTTTCCGTATCTCCACCTGGTAACGGCACCGACCTCACAGGCTGTTCCGTCGGGCAGGTAGTGGTAGATGTGATTTAAATCGTGACCTTCCTAAGTGCATAGCAGGGCACAAAAGCTGCGTGTGTGACAAATAACTGATAACCCGAGAAGGCACCCTTGTCCTTGGGCTGGGGTGATGATGAAGAGGTTGCCACATTACTAAGCAGAAAGTAGTGAGCAACCCAAGTGTGGGAAATGGGGCGCTGGGGGACTCAAGGGGCAAAGTGGGGTGGGCCAGGCCAGGGCACCCACGGCGGCTTCGGGGGTGCAGGGGGAAGGGTTGGCCGAGGCTGGCTGGCAAGCGTGGGCACCCTGGGCCCTGTAATCGGGCTGGGGGAGCCAGGGCCGGGGACTTTGTTCGGAAGAGCAGGAAGTGCAGTAGAAGTCTCCCTGTGGAAGGGGAGCAGGACAGTGTCAAAGTTACTTTCTCATTGCTGAGACAAAATACCCGACACCCAAAGTTAAAGGCGGAAGAGGTTTCTTTAGCTCACAGTTGGTAGAGGTTTCAGTCCATAATCGGCTGGCTCCAAGGCAGCGTGCGTGGCAGAGGAGCAACAGTTCATGGCAGGCAGAAGGTAGCAAAGCAAGCAAGGGAGAAGACGGACTCTTTCTGTCCCTTACATTGCATCCAGGCTACCAGGATTAGGGCAGTGCCGAGCCAATCAGTGGACTGATTCAGTAATCACCCACCCTTAATCCCAGCTCCAGATTCAGCCACCTCTGAAAAAGCCACCTATGACCACGTGAGTTCTCTTGCAAAGGATATGGGTGAGCTGGGCATGGAGGAAACACCTGCAGTCCCAGCTACTTGGGAGGCTGAGGCAGGAGGACTGCAAGTCTGGACCAGTCTGGGCTACTTAGGGAGACTCTGTTTCTCAAAATAAATAAAAAGGTCTGGGGATGCAGCTCCATGTGAAGGGCCTAGAAAGGAAGAAAGAAAGAGGGAAGGGAGAGGAGGGCAGAGGAAAGGACAGGAGCCAGAAAGCTGAAGGCTGCCCTGTGAGCTTTCTGGTCAGAGCTGGGCGAGTCTGACCTCTTGCAGCCCTGTGCAGGGAGTGGGATTGGGACCATAGTCAACGACCGCTTAGAGAAAGTTCCCGGCTGCGGCCTGAGGGCTGAGAAGGGAAGGGCCAGCTGTGGGGGAGAAGAATCAGCAACATCACCAGGTCCTGCAGATGACGGCTTCACACAGCTCAGTGCGAGCCAGGGCGGCGGCATTGGTCAGTGGTGGGAGAGGCTCGGGCACTGCGCAGGGAGGACTTGGGTTTATGCTAAATGCAGGGAACACGGGAGCCTGAGCAGGCCCCGCCCAGCGCGAGGAGGGGACCAGGAGCGTGACACTGTCTGGGACAGCACAGGGCTAAGCGGGCTGAGGGACACAGCTCGGCCCCTGGGTGCATGCAGGAGGCCGGAAGGAGCCTCAAAGGGTGGTCAGGGTGCGAGCGGCTGGGCACCAGGGTGTCTGGCAGGGGACAGCAACAGTCAGAGCAAGGCTGGTGCAGGGGAGATCTGAGGAGGAAACTGAGGACTGAGTCAGTGGAACAGGAGAAGTGAGCAGAGGTGGAAGAAATGACTGGAGGGGGCCGGGGGTTTAGCTCAGTGGTTCCGGTGCCTGCCTCTGCCTGCCTCGCGAGCCCGAGGACCGGAGTTCGATCCCTGATACCAAAAAAAAGAAAAAAAGCAATGACTGGAGGGAAACCCCACAGCCAGGGAGGGCAGAGATGGTAGGAAAACCTAAGCCGCGGAGGTGTGGGAATTGGAGAAAGTCCTCTCCTCTGCACTCTCTTCCCCAGGGGTTTTGGGGCGAGGTCCCCCCTTCCCTGGCCCACTGTGCTCTCCTGAGATTCCCCGCCCGGCTCCCCGGGGTCCCACAGTGCCCAGCTCCACTCCACTGCTGGGTGGCCTTGGGGACCTGGGGCCAGAACAGGCTGGAATTGGGGCTGGAGGACGGCTCAGCCCTCACCCCACTGCAAGATGTCACGGAGCAGACCCCAGCCAGCCTCTTCTCCAGGAGCTACAATCAGTCAGCAAGATGAGGAGATGACGCGATTAGGCCCAGGCATGAAAGTGCTCTTATCTCACACTGCTTTCCCCTCCTAAACTCCTGGGTGTTCTACCTAATGATTCAGCTAAACAGAAAATCTGATCAGTCACTGTGCCAGGCCCGCTCTGCTCCCTGCCTGTGAGTCTGTAGTTGCCCACAAGGCCCCTGGGGGCTTCGAAGTGACCAAGCTGCGGGCAGCTATGCAGCCCTGAAACCGTGTGAGCAGGCGAAACCCACACTGCACTGGGGTTTGCTTTGAAATAATGGAGATGCAGGTGAGGTGCACAGAAAACCCATTGGTCACTGGGTGTGGTGGCACATGCCTGTCATCCCAGGACTCGGGAGGCTGAGTCAGGAGGATCACTGTAAATTGGAGACCAGCTTGGCTACATAGTGACTTCACAGCCATGCCGGATCACATAATGAGACCCTGTCTCAAAAAAACAACAATAATAAAAAGACTCCTGCACCAGATGTTTGTCACAGGCTATCTACACTAGCAAACAGTCAGAAATGGGTCCAGACAATAAAAGGGACTAAAATCTGGGAGTGATGGCCTATGCCCGTAGTCCAGCACTTGGGGGGCTGAGACAGGATTGTGTATCTGAGGCCAGCCTGGGCTACAGAGTGGGACCCTGTCTCAAAACACCAAAATAAAACACAACAAAAAAACGCACTTGTCGCTGAGTTAGTGCTGACAGGGGATGGGTGTGACAGTCTGTGTACTACAGACGCTGAACTAAAATGATAAAAAGCATGTTTATTAACTCAGGGTAAGGTAAAAATCGAGGACAAGTGTGAGCACCCTGTTCTTTACCAACCTAAATTCAAACCCAGACCCACAAGACAGCTACCAAAAGTAAGAAGCAAAACTGTGGTCTCTAGATCTAAGTCCATATCAAAATGAAATGCTTTTGAATGCCATTTGGAAACTTTTCTTTTGTATGTGTGTGCGTGCCTGTGTGCGTGCCCGCGAGCATGGGCACATGTCACTGTGTGTATGAACCCAGGGCCTTCCCACTGAGCTACATCCCCAGACCTTTTACATTTTGAGACAGTGTCTCACTAAGTTGCCAAATTGCCCAGGCTGGAGTCAAACATGAGATCCTCGCTCCTCAGCTTCCCAGCATTGGGATTACAGGGGGTTACAGGCATGTGTCACCATGCCCAGGGCGCGTAGAGATTATTCTTATATCCATGACCCAAATGACTCTCGTGGAAGTCTGAATTTACCTGTGTGACTGTAGGAGTCCTTTAGTCAGCATCTGCACCTGCTCACTCCCACTCGCTCTCCTGCACCCTGAGGGTGGACAGGGTGGCTGAGGTGGTTCGAAACCCAGGCTGAGGCCCGGTCCACAGTGCTCAGGCGCCTGCTCTGTGCAAATTCTGTGCCAGGTCCAACAGCCAATGGACTCCGATTCCTGTCCCGCTGGGCTCCGAGGCTGGTGGGGAGATGAACCAAACCCCCAAACAGGAAGGGGTCCTGAGAGACACAGGGCACTCAGTGCTGCCAGTGCTGGGGGACCAGGGATGTTCCGATTACTCTTACCTTTAAGGGGTGACCTGACAGAAGCAAGACAGGGACCGGGCTTAGCAGAAGCAATGAATGGGCCTTGAGAAAACCTTAGGGTTAAAAAAAAAGCAACAAACTAAACAAGACAGGGTGCATTCAAAGAACCAAAAAGCAAAAATGAGGCTGGAGAGCCAGGCGTGGTGGCACACACCTGTGACCTCAGCACTTGGGAGGCTGAAGCAGGAGGATCGCCTGAGTTCAAGGCCAGGCCGGGCTACCCTGTACTATGGAGTGAGATCCTGTCCGAAAAAAGACGAGGCTGGACAGGCTAGCAGAGGCCGGGCAGGCAGGACAGGGGAGGACCGAGCAGGGAGCGACCTGCACTGGGCTCCCCGAGCAGGGCAGAAGGGACCGAAATGGTGCAATTGGACGTGGGTGCACGCAGGGGAACAAGCTGGGAAGGTAAACTCCACAGGACTTGGCACTGGGGGAGGGGGCGAATGCGGGAGGCGAGGCGGGACGTTAGGGACAGTTCCCCAGATGCAGCTGGGCAGTGGAACGGTGGCCACTTGCGAGATAAAAATGGCCTTTTTAGCTACCTTTTTAGTACTCCCAGTACTAGGGAGGCTGAGGCAGGAGGATCACTGCAAGTTTGAGCCCAGTCTGGCCTACACAGTGAGACCCTCAGAAAACAAAACAAAAGGTCCTGAGTTCGATCCCTTGTACCAAAAGAAAAAAAAAAAGACCTTTTCATCTTCTGACCCATGGAGCTTGTTACCTCAGACAACTTGGCTGCTTCCTCCGCAAGAGGAGCCTGAGCTGTGCCAGAGGAACCGAGGACCAGGGTCTGCCCGGCAGCGGCCACTTCTGCGCCCTGGATCTGTCACTTCGGCTTCTTCCCTGGGAGCGGCCATCCCAGGGGCTTGGCCAGGGGTTCGACGAGGGTGGGCTCCTCGCAGCGGCCGCCCGGAGCCAGGTGGGAAGACGTGGGGGACAGGAGGACCGTGTTGGAAGCCAGGAAAGCTTCGGATGCACACGGATGCCAGAGCCCTTCTCAGTGTCTGCATGAAGGAATCGCCCTGCAGGGCACTTTGTAGTGTCCCAGTTTGGGTCCGTATCAGCCAGGAGACGGGGCACCGAGCACCTGGACATGCAGGTTCATGGCAGAGCCATGGCCCTGGGGAGGGAGGTGCTTGGGACCCTGTCCTTCTGGCTCGGGGCTGAGCCAGGGCAGGGTCACTGGGCTCTGACGCCGTCCCTTCCCCGCCTCCCACACAGCTCGATGGGCAGCACTAAGGCCACACAGCACAGGCTTTTCCAAAAAATAAGATTTTTATTGTCTTGGATGCAAACATAGTTTGGAAAATGCATTGTAGTGTTGAGTGCAGCTGGTGCCAACCCGCTTCCCGACAGCAGTGTGAGGGAGCCACGCTGGGTGATGCATGCCGGGGGGCCTCGGGTCACTGAAGACCCCCTAGGTGTCACCAAAGGAGCCCCAGCCACCAAGGCTCACAACAGGAAAACCAGCCATGTCCACAAAGCTGCCCCCGAGGGGAACACGCCTGGCGGCTGTGGCGGCATGAACCAGCCAAGTCCGCTTTCCCTGGCCGGCGGACCCAGGCTGACAGAGAGATGGTGGTGGATTCTGCTGAGTAAGTGGCAAAGAACTTTATAAAAATAAAACTCCATGAACACACACAGGCTTGGGCCTGTGCATACATACGAGTGAGTCAACATTCAATGTGAAAAGTTCCCTTTTCTTTCTCCAATGCCGGTTTCCTGAGACAGACAAGCATGGAGGTGCGGCACACCCGGCCCTGGAGGGAACAGGGAGACGGGGCTGTGTCCTGAGGCCTCTCCTGTGTCCCGAGGCCTCTCCTGTGTCCTGAGGCCTCTCCTGCGTCCCTGGCATCTGCCATCTGCTGTGCACCTGCGGAGGCCGTGACCATAGTGCCTACTACGAGGGCCAGCGTCAGAGCCACCGCTGCGTGTCCAAGCTGCCCACGGCGGCCTTGATGTCCCTGCTCCCCTCACACTCGCCAGCATGTGCTGAGCATCCTGTGAAATTCTGCAAGGCAGCAGGGGGTCAAAGCCAAAGCCGCAACCCTCAGGGCACAGCGTCCGAGCCGCTGCCCACACCAGTGCGCCCCGGCAAGGCCACCAGCAAATGCTTTATGCAGCGTGAGCTCTGCCAGGGCTCCGGGGCACCACTGTCCCGGGAAAGGCACTGGGAAGGAGGGGAGGCCTTGGCTGAGGCACAGATACCCCGAAAGAAGGGGACGTAGTGGGGAGAGGACACCCAAGTCTGCCCACATCAGAGCAGCGAAGGGGGCTGAGCCTGCGGAGTCTGCGGCCAAGGCAGGTCCAGTGCTGCGTCCTGAGACCAGGCGGACGCCTCTCCTGACCGAAGCACAAAGCTGTCAGCACAGAGCCTAGGGGGTGCAGGGGATGCAGGCAGGGTGAGGGCCCCACTGTCCCCAGCCCAGCACCCAGGGTGCCGTCAGCACTGACACCTGAGGCTGCGCTGCTTGAAAAACCACAGGGCTGCGGTGGCCTCCTCAGGGGACCCCGGGCTGCTGCCACCCCTCAGGAAGGCCCTGGGCCGCAGCCCGCCCCACCCCGCCGCCCACTCATCGTGAAAGAGCTCCGGCACTGGTGGCCCCCAGATTTCACAGAAACTCTGATCTGCTCTCCGAGAGCTCTGCGGGCGGCTCTGCTCTTCTCAGGCCCTGTTCTTGCCACCTGAGAGGCGGCGCCCATTTCAGGCATGGGAGCGGGCAAACGAGTGTAAACGGACCCCGGAGCACGCTGTGGGTCAGCGCCCACAGGAGGTCAATGGCACAGGGACAGCTGTCCCCCAACGCTGGCCCAGGACAGAGGTCAAGCCAGGCAGGAAACGAAGGTGAGTGGGGAGACAGCACGGCTCCCACCACCACAGCAATCGCGAGCACCAAGAGAAATGAATCGACCTCTATCTCGAACACACAAACTCATGCCTAGGTCAGCCTGCCAGGAGACACACGCGTTCACACACACACGCACATGGGGCCAGTCTCACACACCCTAACAGGCATACATATCTGAGGAACACAGAACCACGAACATTAACTCAGCAAAAGGGAGAGGTAGGCCAAAGAATCAACAGGCCGATTTTATATCCCATGGAGTTTAGAAAGAAGTCACTCCCATGAGCCAGGGAGAAAGCTATTGAGCAGGAGAGCCCTGGCTGGCGGCTACGGCACCGTCAGCGTGTCACAAGGCACAGGCACAGGCAGGGGAAGCCTGGGCTCAGGCCCTCCACCGGGGCCTCAGCAACATTTGGTTTTTCTTCTTTTCCTTCTGACGCTACTGGGCTTCTGACCACAGTGGCCTTGACCTTCTGAAGGAGACTTCACGTCTGTCTTTGGGGTGAGGGGTGAACTCTACCACCACTTCCCAATGGGACTCCCAAGGCCCACACCCTCACGCTCACCCCTCAGCCTGTAAACACATTTTCAGGGGTGGCTGAGGGGTGCCACTAAGCTGCTCCCGTGTCTGGCAGAAGCGCAGACCAGGGCCATGGTGGACTCTTGGTGGCTCTGCCAGTGGCCTGGAGACCCGCCCAGCCCTTCCTGTCCTCCATCAGTGGGGTACAGTGGAGCCGGAAGCCCATCCAGGCCTCACTGCTGCGGCCTCCAGGAACCAGTGGGGCCTCTGAGTAGATCGGAGTGTCGGGGCAGCCGGGCCCCCTCTTCACATGACTCTCTTGGGACACTGGACACCAGGAAGAGGTGCAGAGAGGCAGAGAGGACATAAACGGAAGGAGCGGCTGGCTGCTGGGAACGTCACAGCAGGATGGAGGAGGTGCCCGGGCTGGGCTCCCTGAATGCCGAGTGTGCACCTGCCACCTGCTGCTACTGGTGGAAGTGGCCAGAGCACGTGGGTCCCTCCTGCTGCTTCTGTCCCCTGCAGGACGGACACATGGGCCACCCTGCCTTGGGTCACTGATCCATCTGAGCGCAGGCTTCACTGTCCAACCTGGGAACTCCCTGGGTCCTGCCTGTCAGCATGGTGCCTTCTTTGATCTGAGAACTGGCCCGGTCTGGGGCTCCCGGCTGAATGAAACAGACGAGATGGACACATGGAGTGTGACATCAGTGTGAACCTCCGGAGGCAGGAGCGAGGTGAGCCTGTCCCGGTGTGCTGTCCTTCCCAGGGCTGCAGTGTGGCGGTGGCGAAGGCTGACGGGGCAGGGCCTGGGCTGGGAGGGGACACGAGGAGACCACGGCAGCGCCAGGTGGGCTCAGCACAGCGGTGAGCCCAGCTGGGAAGGAGCCCGGGCTGGCGGCAGCGTGGAGTGCTCACCTGCCCACCCCAGGGCACGCGTGCTGGCCCTGTGACAGGAAGGCACTTCCCCCACGGCTCGGGTGGGGCCAGGCCGGGAGTCAGGTCCCCAGGGTCGAGCTGCTGTGGGTGGGAGGATGACAGATGCCTCCACCTGGGCTTCGGCAGCCAGAGCCAGCGCGTGTGCAGGCTGCCAGGAGGGCACAGGGAGACGAGGGTGTGACACGGACAAGTCTGTAAGTCTCACAACGGGGCTGAGAGGGACCCGGATGTCCCGCTTGCAGGGGCAGGCTGTTTCTCTGTCCCATCTGCTCCCTCCCTGGCCTGGCCGGACAAGCCAGCAGCAGGACAGGAGAGCAGGGCCGCACTTCCCTCCAGGATGGGAGGGTGGTGGCTGAGGTCGCTGCATGAGGCCACAGCAAAGTCCCCGAGGTGGGTTATTGCTGCAGGCAGGCCCCGGCCTGCTTCAGACCTGAGTGCGGATCCTGTCGGCTCGTGGCCCGGAAGCTGAGGAGACCTGAGGCTGGGCGTCAGGAGGGCAGGGAGCACTCTTGGGCCTCTCGAGGCCATGTGCCAGCCACACGGCTAGGACTCCCCCAGTCGAGGGCCAATCCTGGTGACAGCCTCAGACGCCTGCTCTGGCAGCTGGGACGGGTCCGTCAGGATGGAGGTGGTGGTGCTCAGCTGCCGGAGGGTGCTCAGCACCACTGCAAGACAGAGAATGGTCAGCGGTGTGCGGCCCCCATGGTGCAGGGAGGGCCCCGGCCGAGGCCGGTCTCTCACCAGGCTTGAGGAGCTGCCACACCCAGAGGTCTAACCCACCCCTGCAGCCACAGGATTCATGCCCCCCATTCAACAGCCCTGGAAGCGGGGCCCAGAGCCCTGCACCCACCCCACGGTGGCCTGCTGGCTTGGAGCCTCCTGCATGCTCAGCCTGGCTGTGCGCAGTGGGCCTGGATTCCCCCAAGGTCCCCTCCTGACTCACTCGGCCTGAGGACGGGCAGGGAGCAGTGCTGGTCCAGCCAGGACAGCGCCGTGCGGTGCAGCTCCTCCAGGCTGCTGGTGGATACCATGCGCTTGAAGGACTGAAACAGCGGCTTGATGATGATGCTGAACTGCGGGGCTGAGTTAAGGAAGAGGGAGCAGAGGGCGGGGTGCACACTGAGGGAAGAGGGGCGCCTGCTGACTTCCTGGGCCTAGGCCTACAGGGAAGGGTGGGTAGGGCCTCCCCCGAAGCAAGCGAGTCCTCTGTGTGATCAGACGCTCTGCTCCAACGATGACCGGCCACTGAGTGCCAGCCAGGACCCCAGGGCCCGGGGTCTGGAACACGTCTGTGAATGGCGTGCACACAGGTGTTTATGTAACATTGGCCACACGCAGGCCAAAGGAAAAGCTCTGTGGATGTGGCATCTTTCTTCCCTGTTGCTGCAGCTGTGCCCTTGGTCCCCAAGGCCCTGTGGGCTCAGCCACCTCAGGAGGTCAGTGCTGGCACACCGTGGGCTTCTCTGGACTTCGCTGTCCACAGTCCTTGTGTAGCCCAGGCATGAGGAATGCACCACCTGGTCCTCTGTGGGCAGGTGGGACACAGGCCCAGGGCACTGTGCTGTCACACTGTGGCTGTACCAGCACGTGCCTGCTGTGGCCAACCTGCCACGTGAATGGACTACTCACGCAGGGTGGAGGCTGGGTGGACAGTGCCAAGGCGGGAGCTGCCTCTGGAAGGCTGAAATGGCCCGGTACCGGGTGGGCACGCTCTGTCACAACACCGTAGGCCAGGCGGCCCGTGGAGGCATCGGAGGAAACGGCCCTGCAGTTCTGTGCACCTTGTTTTCTGCCTGTCACAGAGGCAGGGTCACGCTCCCATGCAGTGGGGACAAGACCAGCGGCCGGGCTGTGGCCCTCCTTCCCATGCTGCTAGCTCTGCCACGGCACTGCCTGCCACTCGGCCTCCCTCATTCCTCCTGCAGAGTGCCCCAGAAGCTCCTGTGGAAACAGCTGCCAACCACAGCCCCAGCCCACAGAGGTTGGCCCTGTCTGCCCTGATGGGACTGGGATGACCGTGTGAAGAGTGTCTTTCTGCAGGCGCTGCATGCCCGGGCTTGTTCCTGGCCACTGCCTGTGGGAGGGAAGGGCAAAGAAAACGGAAAGATACAATCCAGAACTTCCAATTCTGCAGGGTCCGGCTTTTCACGTATTCATCAAACATGTCTCTCATGTGGTCGACCTGGCGTGGGGCGACAGAGACCCCTGTGGCGGGGAGCAGCTGCTGGCAGGAGCTAAAACAACATGGGGACAAAAAAAAAAACAAAAAAAAAAATTATATATACATATTGGGCCGGGGATTTAGCTCAGTGGTTCTGCCCCTTCCTTGCAAGCACAAGGTTCCGAGTTCGATCCCCGGTACCAAAAAAAAAAAAAAAAAAAAAAAAAAAAAAATATATATATATATATATATATATATAATACAACATGGGGAGTCAGAGGTAGGTTCGGGGCAGCCAAGAGCAGAGCCGCAGCCAGGGTGCCAGATGGCAGGGCTGGCTGTTCACAGAGGCACAGCCAGGCAAGGGCAGAGAGGCTGTGGGGAAGGAGGGACCATGGCACGGAGGGTCCCGCTGCCTCTGGGACAAGGGCACACAGGCTGTCACCGAGCCAGGCCTCACAGGATGGTGGCATTGAGCTCCTCGATCTCCTCTCGCAGCCGCCGGGCCTCCTCCTGCATCTGGCTCCGCTCCTGCTGCAGCTTGGTGATGTATTCCACGGTCTTCTGCAGTGTGATGGCGTGGCTGCTCTGTGGGGACAGGCAGCTCAGCAGGGGCACCGGGGAGCGCCATCCTGTCACCCCCACTCCGCTGTGTGCAGGCAGCTCACCGGCTTGGAGTTATTGGAGATCAGACTGTTGAGGGTGTTAAAGCCCATCTTGATGTTGAAGCGCCGCTTCTGCTCGGCCGAGATGTGCTTCAGCTGCTGGTTCTGTTGGGGAACTGATCGGTCACTGAGACGAAGGCCAGGCCTTGGGCCCTGAGCCTCTCTCCTCACCACCCAGCCTGATGCCAAGCAGATGCAGCCAGACTGGCCCTGGGGTACAGGCAGGTGGGGCCAGAGAAGAAGGGAGGAGGAGAGGACAATGAAAAGCTAAAAGGAAGCCAGGTGCAGTGGCCCCAGCTGCAGTGGCAGGAGGATTCCAATTTTTTTTTTTTGGTACCAGGGATTGAACTCAGGACCTTGTGCTTTCGAGGCAGGTGGCAGAACCACTGAGCTAAATCCCTGGCACTATGGAGGATTCCAAATTTGAGACCAGCCTGAACAACTCAGAGACCCTGGTTCAAGAATACACAGCTCAGTGCCAGAGCACTTGCTGGCATGTGTGAGGCCTGGACTCCAGCCCCAGCACCACAAAGTTTAGAATAAAAAGCTAAAGGCCCTAATGAATGGGGGACACGGGAGGGGAGCAGCAGGCTGGGGAGGGCTGTCCACCCCACGTTTCACCAGCCTCCACCTCTCTTCTCGGACCCCAGGCTGCAGCTGCCATACTGAGGCCTCGGTGTGGGCAGACCCTCACCACCCACACAGCCTGCTGAGACAGGCGGGCAGGGCCCATCTGATCTCCGTGCGGCTGCTGCCGCCCCACCCTGGGCGACACTGGCGGACTCTGCTCTCCCTTCCAGACAACACAGCAGTCCCAGAGGTTCCCACCCTGGTCCCGCTGAGGAAATCTGGCCTGGGAGAGACCCGTCATACCTTAAGTGCAGCCACGCTTTTGGGGTTTGCAGATTTCCCTGAGCAGTTGTTCTGGGGAGACTGAGGGCTGGGGCTTTGCTCTGATCCACATGGAGAGGCCTGGCCTGAGCCCGGGGCATCGCGGCCTGAGAAGAGGAGGGTCTGTGACAGACAAGTGACAGGCAAGACGGGAGGCTGCCCAGCCCCAAGCACAGCAGCCCGCACAGAGGGGAACCCCACAGGGCGAGGCATCGGAAGCCCATTTCTAACCTCTGATGCCGCCCCAGCGCCCAAGCCGGAGAAAGCCATGCCCACATCCCAGAGGGGTGTGGCGCCTGTGACAGAGCAATCACTCATGTGGCAGAGGTAGCAGCTGGACTCTGCCGCCCCAGGTCAGAGAGGAGGTGGCACCGCTCACCCGGCCCTGAGATGCCACCTGGAGGCACCAGGGCTCTGGAGGGCTCTGGAGTCACCAGTCCCCACCCCTGCACCGGGCACAGTGGCACCTGCTTCTCTTTCGGATCTACATTTATGTTCTTTTACACTGTCTGACCCCCAATCTGACCCTCTGACCCACACAGGCCATGACAGAGCCACCCTGTGATCTCCTCAGGGCCCGTTCTGGTCACTGGTGTCTCCTTCCTGTAGCAAGGTCTCAAGCTCATCCCCTCTCCCCAGGCTCTGTCAGCTTTCAACCCACCGCACTGAGACCCAGCCAGGCCACACAGACGCTCCCTGGATCACTAAGAGGGCCCAACTCGACCCTTGGAGCTGGCATCTGTCCCAGCGGAGGGACATGGACAGCCCTCTTGGCAGGGCCCCTTCCGTGCTGGGTCTTCCCGAGGAGGAGGGCTGTGCTCTGCCCACCACCCGCCATGCTGGTCCAGCCTAGGGGTGGCAATCACCTGACCGGCCATCGCTGCAGCCCTGGGCCAGTTTGCTACACGCTGGAAATGCTGAGACAAGGCCGCCAGCTCCATGGCTATGGCAGGTCCAGGCTGTTTCCAGAAACTGCCCAAAAGGACTCTCCAGTCCCCTTTCTTACGAGAGCTGTGGCTCCACGCTGGGCCTCTATGAGTGACAGGTTAAGAGTGGCTTCCCTAGAGCCAGGTGTGGCAGTGCACACCTGTGATCCCAGCACTTGGGAAGCTGAAGCAGGAGAATTGCCATGAGTTCGAGGCCAGCCTAGACTACATGGCCAGACCCTATCTCAAAAAACAACAACAAAAACAGACCACCCAAGCATCAGCTCCCCATGATGCGTGGCTGCCTCCTGCCCACTGGCGCTGCTGCAGCTCATCTTGCCGTCCACTGGGGATGTCCCCAGGCTATGCCATCTGCTGACCGTGGGTCCTACAGGCCCAGCCCACGGTGGGGAGCCCTGGCTGATGTCCTACCCCACCTGACTGCAGTGACACTCACTGGGCCCTGCAGCAGGGACCTGGGGGCTGCCCCCTCGAAGTGGGGCCTGCTCCACCTTCACCAGTGAATCTTGCACCGTGCCTGGAGAGAAGAGCCGGGACACGGGGGCTGGCTGGCCACTCGTGCTGCGGCTGAGGTCTGTCACCAGGATGCCACTGTGGAATTCGGCGACTGCAGGAGCCTGAGGTGCCAGGGGAAAGAGATTATCCAACTGCTGACGCAAGGCAGGGCAGACCAGTCCCACGCCGGGGGAGGCCCCCAAGCGCGTGCCGATCTGGGGAGAAAGGGACAGCTCAGGTCCCCTGGGCTCCTCACCCTGGGGATGGCAGCAGGTGCGAGGACCATGCCAGGCTGGGACACCGTGGAGGCCAGCATCCCTTCTCTCTTGAGAGGGCTGGATGTCATGATCACTGCTGGTGGCTGGCCTGGGAAGGTGGCTACGGGGCAAGGAGAGAAGGGGAATCGGGGCTGAGCCCACGGGGGCCTGGCTGAAGCCAGTGGGCATCCTGCTCCACCCCGAGAGGGACAAGGCGAAAGAGCCACCACGGCATGAAAACTTGCTCTGTGCTTCTTGAAGGAGGCACATTATGGACTCCAGAGAGCGTACCCAGGATCATGTGTTCCAACTGTGGGTTGTGACTTTTTAAGGCACAAAACAGAAACAGAACAAATCCCACGTGGATGCTCCACGATGTTCTGCCTCATTTAAGAGGGAGAGCATGGTCGGAGTGGCTCTGGGACGGAACGGAGCTCCCCGGGGCCCTGGACTGGCAGGAGGACCCTGGACTCACCTGGGGCCAGGCGTGCACTCTTCAGCAGCAAGGACATGGGCTCGGGCTTGGGGGCAGGCACTATTTTGAGGGGCTGTTTGGGCCTCCCTCCAGCCGAGGACACAGGCTTGGGGTGTACGAAAGTTAAACGAGCCTGGGGAGGCCCGACAGCCGGTGGCTGGGGCGCAGGGGACAGGGCGAGGGCGCAGGTGGAGGGGTGGGCTGTGAGCGCAAGGCCCTGGCTCTGGCTGAAGGTGGTGGCGGTGGTGGCGCGGGTGAGGGTGGGGGAGGCCGCGTGCGTGATGACAGGCGGAGGCTTGCTGGGCCCCGGAAACCTCTGTGGGTGAGGGAAGGCCGGGGGCGCTGGGGGCGTCAGGGCAGGGGCAGGCGGAGGCACTGAGGGCAAGGAGGGTGGGCTGGGGGCGAGCAAGGGCGTGGGGAAGACGGGCAGGAAGGGCTGCGGGACGCCCAGCGGCGGCTGCGAGGGGCCGAAGTCCGAGGGCTGCAGGAAGGGGTCCCCGGCCCGGGAGGCACGCTCGCAGCCCTGGCCCTCTGTGGGGTGGAGCGAGGGGCCTGCAGAGGGGGCCACGAGGCCGTCGGGGAGGCCCACGGCGGGCAGCGAGGTGGCTGGCAGGACGCTCTCCTGAGAAAGAGGGGCAATGAGGGCCAGAGCTGGCATCAGGCTGCTCACTGTCCCACGCCGCGGAGCCCAGGAAGGGCCGGCCGAGGGGCCGGGCGGGGGGATCACCCTGAGCTGGGGAAGTGGATCTGACTTGGCAGAGCAGGACGGCCACTCAGTGCCGACACGGCCTGGCCTCCACGCGGCTGGACGGCCCCCCGGGGAGTCTGGTTCCCAGTCGCAGGGGTCCCCAGCCCCCAGCCTCCTGTCACAGACAGGCGCCGGGGCCACAGCTGCTTGGGTTCCCCAGGGCAGTCTCAGGTATCAGCTTCTTGGTCAGCAGGAAGAGCTCCAGGGCTCAGGGTGCGGATCTCAGGCTCCAAGAACTGGGCCTCATCCGCTCTGCGGCCCTGGCACCTGTGCCAGCTTCTCCTGGCTGCTAGGTGGGAAGTGAAAGGGTGTGCAGAACTCGATTGCATTAGGGACTGGTGCGGTTGCCTCTGCCTGGCTGATACGGTCTCTGGCCAAACGTGGTCATGTGGCACCTCCCCCCATGGGATTTACAGGTGCCCTAGAAGAGCGCGGTCTCGTTTTCCACACTTCGCGTGTGTGCTCAGCACCACACCCAGCAGTGTCCAGCAAACTGCCTGTGACTGCACGGTGATTCCGCCAGCCTGATGACAGGATGACAGCCCGCCCCCACCCTGCCTCTACCTGGGCAGGTGAGCTGCTGGGATCTGGCGCCGGTGTTGAGACAGGTGCGGGCAGCATGGAGCCAAAGATGGAGCGGCTGGCCGAGAAGAGGTCTGAAAAAGAACACAGGGTCCGCTCAGCGCCACATGCTCCCCACCTCCTGGAATTAGGGTTCGAACAAACGGGAAACTGAACCCCACTCTCCCTGAGGGATGCCCTGGCCACAGGGCACCCCCCTTCTCTATAGAGAGAGGTGTCAGATGGAAGCCACACGTGTGGCTCTGAAATCCTCCCAGGCTATGAGTTTCTGAGGCTGTGACAGTGGCAGGAGCACAAGGACCAGAAGCAACTGCAGGAGACTGGGGAGGTGGCTGTGCCACCAGCGCCCCCTGCTGCTTAGAGGGGGAACAGCTCCCCGCCGGCAAGCATGATCTGAGAATGCCAGCTTCCTTCAAGAGAGAGAGAATACTGTCCCAGGAAAGTTTCCCAGATCTTCAAATTACTACAAAAAAAGTTTTGTTTTGAAAAATTTCCTCCTCCCACTCATCCTAACTGGTCTCTCTCTCTCAAAGGGAAGTACCGGTCTGCTCCAGGCTGGGCTCCCTCTGTCAGGTTCTCACCCTGGAAAGGCTCGAAGGTGTCCATGAAGTCCAGGTTGGGCTGCAGAGGAATCAGCCCCGGCTGGATCATGTCTGCATTTCCTAGATGTGCTGCAAGAGCCAGAGGAAGAGAGGCACAGTCGCCCTCTCAACAGTCCTGCTCCAGGTCGAGGGCTGGAGTTTCTTGGGGTTCATGGCCATCCTACTCAGCCTGAAGGCAGCCAGGAGCCTGTAGCTTTTATGTTTGTTTGCTTGCTTGGGATGGGATCTGGTTTTGCTGCCCAGGCTGGCCCAGAACTCCTAGGCTCAAGTGACTCTTCTGCCTAGGCATCCAGAAAGGCTGGGACTACAGGTGTGCGCCTGGCTGGGCAGCAGGGAATGGTTACCCCAGGAGGCCAGGAAGGGTTTAGTGGAGAGCCCGACACTCCACTTCCTCTCCTGCTCTGACTTTTAACCTGTGGGCTCCTCCCTGAGGGGCTGACTGAGGCCTGGAAGCCACCGAGTGAGGTCACGGCCATGAGTGCTTCCAGTTTTCTGAGTCCCATGGGCCTGCTGCCTAGGCCCGGGCACCAAGGTGACAGATTGCAGCAGAAGTTTGAACCTGGTCTGCCCAGACCCCTCAGTGGTTCCTCGGTGATACCCAGGGAGGAGCTGGATCTGGAGTCTCCATCCACTCAAAGCAGGGGCCCCTCAGGGATCCGACCCATCTCCTCTCTTCCTGGCCTAGGCAAGTGACAGGCTGCAGCTCCGAAAGAAACCCCTGCCTGGAGCACACCAGGCAGAGAAGCAGCAGCTGCCTGGACTCAGTCAGTTACCTATTTCTCGAGGGTTGGGCCAGGCCACTGGCTGATGTGAAGAAAGGGTGGAGAACAGGGTGTCACTGAACTCTGACATGAGCATGTCTGTGTCCAGCAGTGGGTCTTCCTCCATGGGGACTGGGGTCTTCCAGCCATCCCCATGTTTGTGCCAGTAAAGCATGTCATCGTCCTGCCACCAGAGGGAGGAAGCATCAGAAGGCAGCAGTGGAACCGGGAAGCCCCAATTGTTACAGGGCTGCTCTGCCACAATGAGGCCAGTGGGTGGAGACACCTGTAGAGCGACCCCTCCAGGCCACCAGCAGGGTGCCACTGCTTCCTCAGCCACTCAGGATCGGTGGGGAGAGGGAGAGAAACAGTGTCCCGTCCCTGTTTCACTACCCAAGCCACTGCTGCTCCTCAGCCAGACAGGGCCGCAGGCACACTCACCTGAGCCAGACTGGAGAGGTCCTCATCCTTGTGCTGCTGGAGCTGGGGACAAAAGGCAGGATGAGGTGGTCACTGAGTGCCTGCGAGCGGTGAGGCCCCAGCTCCCCTCCAACCCCCAGGCCTCGTGACTCTGGGGGCAGGTAGGAGAGGAAGCCTGCTTGCTGCCCTCCACAGGCTGCGGGCAGAGGAGAGGTCTGGGGAGGAGGCAGGTCTGTTTGGAGCGGGGAAACTAAGCCTTGGCTGCAGGAACAGTGCTCTGATCCCAGTCGCCACCCTCCCCTTCAGGGGCTTCCTGAGCTCCAGTTTGGGAGCCCTGGCCAACAGATACCCTTTTCTTGAAGTAGGTTCTCCACTTGTGGTACTCCCTGATCACAATCTCAATGCGGCTCTTCCAGTACTTCCCCTCAGTGGTGATGGCCTGTGACAGAGAGACCAGACTGAAGGGAGGTGACCTGGGCCAGTAGCAAGCTCAGCCCGGGGACATGGAGGCAGCAGTGGACACTTGAAGTAGCCTCAGGAAACCCACACACAGCTACACCCTGTTCTCACAAAACACGTCTCATCTCTTTTGGGCTACAGCTGGCCCTCGGCCTAAAAAAATGCAACGTGAGTTCAAGACTTGGGACATCCAGGGCGGCATGCATGCAAGTGTGCGTGTGCGTCTGGGTCCTGAGGCTCTGCACTGGGGCCCAAGATGAGCAGGGAGCTCAGGACAGGGAGGTCCCAGGACGAGGAGTGCTACAGACACGATGGTGGCCCACATGCCCAGGGACACCACCTCTGCCATGCTCCCGAAGGGTGAGCATTGAATCAAGCAGAATCCATCCCGCCTGACAGCTTATCTCACCTTCGGACCTAATGTCTCAGCTCACTTTTAGTTCCTCTTTTTTTTTTTTTTTTTTGGTACTGGGGATTGAACTCAGGACCTTGCGCTTGTGAGGGAGGCACAGTGTCACTGAGCTAAATCCCCGGCCCTGTGTCTCAGGTCACTTTACCTACATATACTTCATTGTGTGTCTGAAACAGTGAAGGATCAGGTTTTATTTTCTGGTACCAGGGATCGAACTCAGGACCTTGGGCTTGCAAGGCAGGCAGTGGAACCACTGAGCTAAATCCCCAGCCCAAGGATTAGTTTTCTAAAAACCAGGATCCCCGGTACCACACACACACACACACACACACACAAAGCAGTGTTTATCTGGGCTGGGATGTAACTCTAGGTTTGAGTCCTAGCACTGCAAAAACAAAAAGCAAAAATAAATTACAATATTACCACCACATCTAACAGAATTATGTTCCCTGATACTGTCCGTTATGGCTTGTGTGTAGATGAACCCCCAAAGCCTCATACGGATGAGATGAAGCTTTCTTTTTCAGAGGTGGCTGAATCTACAGTGTGCGATGCTGGGGTTAGGGTCTGTGATTACTGAACCACTATTCTTGAGTGACTGCTTTGGCACCACCCTAATCCCAGTAGTCTGGATGGGATAAAGGGGCAGGGGGATGCTGTTGAGGGCCCCCACTTCATTGCCTTTGCTGTCTTCCACTGCCATGAACTGCTGCCCCTCTGCCACCCTGCCTTGGAGCCAGGTGATTATGGACTGAAACCTTTATGAACTGTAAGCCAAATAAACTTTTTCCCCTTTAACTTTGGGTGTCGGGTATTTTGTCTTAGCAATGAGAGAAAAGTAAGACACCATCAAATGCTAGTTATATCCAAGAGCTGCAAAACTGTTTTATTAGATTATCTTTGTTTCACCCTTTCTATTATAACAGTTAAGATATGGTAAGATAAATTTAAAACAGTGCAGCAGAGTATAAAGTGCAGTCTCCCCCCTCTTCTGATGTCCCGCTCAGATCTCATACCCTCCAAAAGGATCCACTAGTAAGATTTCTATCTTCCGAGACATTTTCTATGCACATAAGGTCTGAGGTACACATTCCTAGAAGAATATAAATATACTAAAAGTAGTGCTGTACAACTGTTTTTGTCTGATTTGGGGGTACTGGAGACTAAACCCAGGGCTCTTGCATGGAACTATATCCCCAGACCCTTTTTCTTTTTTAAAATCTTTATTTTAAGACAGGTTCTACCTCAGTTGAGCAGGCTGGGTTTGAGCTTGTGAGCCTCTTGCCCCAGCTTCCCAGAGTGCTAGGGTTAGAGGTGTACAACACCAGAGCAGGCTAGCAGCTGGCTTTTAAAAATTTTACTCCTTCTTCAACCTTCTTCCTCTCAGTATCTAAAGATCTTGAGGTCTCTTCAGTTGTTAAGTACATCCTGAAGTCAGGCGTGGTGGCGCATGCCTGTGATCCCACCTCAGGAGGCTGAAGCAGGACGGCAGCTGTGAGTTCAAGGCCAACCTGCGCCACACAGTGAAACGCTGTCTAGAAAAAACACTGTCACATCCATCTGCCTTACAAGGGGCATGATGACCCTGAAGACTCCGGAAGGCAGATCGATTTCAAGGGAAAGCAGAGGGCATGGGGTGTCGCTCGGGACAGGCTTGCCGAGCACGCACCAGGCCCCAGGTTTGATCCCCAAGCCCAGAACAAAAGGAAGGAGAGGACAAGGCTCAGCTGACGGAGCCGGCCTGAGAGGAGGAGACCCTGCTGCCTCATCCCTCTCCAGGTCACACAGCTGGCTGCTCAGCGCAGCCCTCACGCTCACCCGGGGCCGAGGGGAGTTTGCCCTTCACAACCACCCAAGATCCTGTGCCAAGTACCTCGGGCCGGCGGTGCTCGTCTACTTCCACAGAGCCATCTAGCGGGGTGACAAAGTGGCACACAGGGTTCTGGCGCTTCTCCAAGTCTGGGCAGAGAGAAGGTGTCATCACTGCCCCGGAGAGAGCCCTGCCGGACCGTCCACACCCTTTCCTCACAGCCCCCCCAGCCCGCAGCAGCACTTACACTGCATGTACCACGCCCGCCAGATGGCGTTGTTGAGCCGGATCTTGTCCCTCCACTGCAGCTTCAGGCCCTTGAAGTTCTTCCACTTGGGTGACACCAACTTCCCACTGGAAGGGAAGGCAGAGATGAGACTCAGCGGCCCCCACCCCACCCCAGAAAACGAAGCGGAGTTAGAACTCTGACCGACCCTCACCAGCCACAGCCTAGGCTGCGCAGATGCACACGTCAGTCACTCAGGGTTTCCTCAGAGCATGGGGCAAGATCAGCCATGGTGGGGATGCACATGCTGCCAACGTGTTGCCTCACTCGGGTCCTGGCCTCCTGGTTACTCCCGCCTAGCTTTTAAATTTTCCATAATTAAATATTCAAAAGAAATCTGCTGTCCACCAGATGAGAAGGAGGCTGCTGTCTCAAGCCATCTGCAAAGCTAATGCTCTGCAGCTGCTCAGAGTGGCCCTGGCGCAGCAGCTGGAAAGCCCAAGGCCCCAGAGGCTGTGCCCCTGGGAGCCTGGCCTGCAAGTGCTTGAACTTACAAGGCATGGTCAGGCGTGGGGGCCTATACCCACGATCCCAGCTATTTGGGAGGCTGAGGCAGGAGGATCAGAAGTTCCAGGCTAACCTGGGCAGTTCAGTGTGATCCTGTCTCAAAATAAAAACCAGAAAGGGCTGGGGGTGTAGCTCAGTGGTAAGCGTCTTGGATTCCGTCCCCGGCACAGTACTGGGGGGCACAGCACTGACAAGCCAGGCTCAACAGGCCCTAGTGGGCCCTCCTCCTCCGAGCCCGACTCTCCTCACTCTCCAAGCTGCCTCCCGCTATCTCCTCCTGGACCGCCCAGGCTTCTCTCCGGGTCCCCTCGCTCCAGCTGGCTTCTGGGACAGCACTTGGGAGCCCTGTGCACAGTGAGCCTGTGCTGCAGCACTCGGGGAGCCCCTTGGGTCTCCTGCCATGGAGGGGCTCGCTCGCTAATTCTTCCCAAAGACATTTCGCACTCTGGCAGGCCAGGATGACAGCAGGAAGGGGAGCTCCTCGGTGGCACTGCCTTCTTGGAAGGTTGTTTTCCATGTGCTGTGCTGGGAGCCAGCCCTGAACAGCTGGCTGGGGGTCCCTTTTTCCAATGGTTGGAAATGGACAAGGCACTGGGTTTTTGTTCGCTGTTTTATTTTTGCACTACCAGGAATTGAACTCAAGACCTTTGCACTAAGCTTTCTATACCCCAGCCGTTTTAAATTTTTTGTTTTGATACAGAGTCTTGCCAAGTTGCCCAGGCTAAGGTTGAACTTACGATCCTCCTGCCTCAGCCTCTCAGAGTGCTGAGATCACAGGCGTGCTCCGCCATGCACAGCACCATCTTTAGTCCACATCAAAGGGGAATCAGTGGATTCAACCGATGGCAGGGCATAGCCCTGCCTCTTCTCCAAGCCCACTGGGGAGGCCGTGTGGCAGGCAGAGACCCGTCACGGTCACAGCCACCGCAGTCTCCAAGCGGAAACAGCGAGAAGATCTGAACCTTGGTTGGAAAGCATTTGGCAAAACCTGTTCTCCTGACCCGAGGCAGCAAGGAGCCCAGGCTTCAGAATATGTCATCCAAACAGCTGTGATCCCATCACCACCACCACCATGGGAAACATCACAAGGCACTCTCAGCAGGCGGGGGACACGCAGACTGCAGGAGCCTCTGCCCACACTCAGAAGGCCCAAGGACTCACACTCCTGCCTGCCTTATCGCTGGCTTCTGCCAAAGCGCATCTGGCCTGCTCATGACAGGGCGGCCCCCACCTCTCCCCGTAGCTGCAACTGCAGGATCAGAGGCCCTCCCCGCACGTGGCACCCCACAGGGCACCTCTGGCGGCACCCAGCTGCCAGGTACCACTGCTGCCTGGGTAAAGTCACAGCACTACCTCATCCAGGGCATCTTAATAAGGACTGCATGAGAGTATGTGTGCAATGCATAAAGACTTACACAGGCATGTGCGCACAGCCTGGCAAACCTAAAGCAAAATATAAAAAGATATTAATAACCATTTCACTGCTAAGATCTAAGGTATTCATGAAAGTGTGCTTTTTGACAACCCCTCCTGACCTGAGAGGGCCTGCAGCTCAAGCTTGCCACACTGCCATTTGGCAGGCCCTCCTGTGCACACTTGTGGCCTCCCTGGTCACAGACCAGACAGGTATGGCAAAGGCCACCCTGCCACAAGCAGAAGTCCGGGGCGCCACGGGCTGCTTACTGCTTCTTGGTGACTCTTCAGCAGGAAGAAGCACCTACTGTGTGGGGAAGGGCGCAGGCAGAGGCTGGGGGAGCCTGCCGGGTCACCTCGACCCATCAGAGCACTCTCACAGGGCTTCTGCAGGAAGTGACATTTGAGCTGCAGCTGGGGTGGGGGAAGCCCAGGAGCAGCCTGGCCTAGGGGGCTTGAGCGGGACCTGGTCAGGGCAGGGAAACTCCCAGGAACCAGACAGAGAACACCAGAGGCCATGAGCTCCTGCCACGGACAAAGCAAGGCCTCCTTCCTCTCCTGTGCAAGGTCCGCCGGCAACCGGATGCCCAGTGAGGCAGGTGGTTCTCAGAAGCAAAAAAAACCAAAACTAGAGTCAGGTGTGGTACCCCCTACCAGTAACCTCAGCACACTGGGAGGCTGAGGCAAGAGGACTGCAAGTTTGAGCCCAGCCTATGCAACTGTTTCAAAAATAAAAAATAAAAAGAGTAAGAGGAAGGGAGGAAAGGAGAGGAAAGGGCAGAGGAAAAAGACAGAACCAAACCAATCTGGTCCTTTACTTCCTTCAGAAGAAACCAAAACCCCAACTGAAGCCCTTTTCCTGTTGTTAACACCCGCTCCTCACACTGCAGCTGGGATCCCAAGCAGCCAGAGGGCTCGGCAGATAGACTCTGACCCGGTATGGGCCAGCAGGGTGGCTGCAGGGGCCCATGCAGGCAGGGCTGTGACAGACTGACTTGCTGGGGTGACATGGTCACCAGCGCCCTGCCTGCCACGGTCCACGGAGAACTAACCACGGGGCCAACACACACCCAGCTTTACTGCTGCTGTGTACTCAGGAAAAGGCGGCCGAGGCCACAATGGCCACGTCCGAGCCTGATGAGGCACAATGGGCGAGAGGAGGACAAACTCAACCTAGGGGCTAGAAATCAAACTGGGCAGGGCTTAGTTTGGGAGTTCCCAGCTCTCTCCTCCCCCCGTGTGGAAATTCTTCCCTTCTCCATGTCTATGTCAAACACAGTTAAACTGCGGCAAGAATTTACTCAGGATTCCAGGACATGGAAGGGTCGCCCCAGTTTGTGTAACATCCCCATGGCCAACAGGTGGCGTCCAACGGACAAAAAAGTAGGACCCAAACCAAGAGCAAAAGCAAAAGCAAAAGCAAAAGCCACTCCTGGTCACAAGGGGCCACTGCCTTAGCAGTTCCATGGCCCTGACACACAGTGTAGGAAAGGCTGGGACTGCCTCTCTCTCTCTTTCGTACTGTGCTCCTAGGCCTTCAAGTTGCTACCATGCAGTCAGTGTCTATCTTGAGAAAGGAAGAGGAGACGTTTTTTTCATTAAGTTTATTGGTACATTTTAGGTATACAATACAACGACATTCATTATTGGGAATTTATACCTTTACATAATGTATCTTGGTTCTTATTTTTTCTCCATTCCTCTGCCCTCCCTTCACCCCTCGAGCCCTCCCTATTACACAGACTTTGTTTCTATCTTTAAGAGGAGACGTTTCTGTGTAGGCATCACAGGGACCCTTTCATAGGGTTTCCTTAAGCCTCCCTGTCCACTAAACACACTAGGAGGCTGACTTAAGTTACTTTTTTTCTTTTCTGATACCAGGGATCAGGGATCGAACTCAGGAGCTTGTGCTTGCCAGGCAGGTGCAGTGCCACTGAGCTACATCCCCTGACTTAGTTATTTTTTCATTGCTGAGCAAAATACCTGACACCCACAAGTTAAGAGAGGAAAGGTTTATTTGGCTCATAGTTTGCAGAGGTTTCAGTCTACAGTCAGCTGGCTCCAAGGCTGGAGGTATGGCAGAGAAGAAACAGTCCATGGCAGGGCAGGCAGGAAGCGGCAGCAGCAACAAGCCTTTTTTTCTGACTGGTGGTCCCAGTTGAAATTCTCTCCAAAAGGAACCAGGTAAAAGGATTGGGCCGGGTTACAAGCCTCAGGGTCCATCCATTTGTTCACCCAACCACGTTTGTTGGATGTTTCTCCACCCTTCTGATGCTTCCCAAAAGGGGAACCCAGCCTCCTCTCCCCAGCCCCTGCTTCCATCTCTAGGGACTCGTGTCTCCTGGACATTCCACATGGCTGGACTCACACAGTATGGCCCTTTGGGTCTGGCTTATGAGTTTATTTTCAAGGTTCACTCACACTGCAACAGTTTCAGATCTCCAGTCCTCTCTGTGGCTCAATCCTATTCCATCCTATGGAGAGACCACAGTTTATCTTTCTTCCCCCCCACCTTTGGTACCAGAGATCGAACTCGGGACCTTGCGCTTTCAAGGCAGGTGGCGGAACCACTGAGCTAAATCCCTAGCCCTCACAGTTTATCTTTCATCTGCAGAAGACATGTGGGTCATTTCCACCTCTGGGCTATTGGGAACAGTGCTGCCACCAGCCGACTTTGTTTTATTTCCCAACCAGTTCAGAACTCTGGCAGCGAAGAGAGGTTTCATCATTGAGCTGGCGGTGGGGACAGAGATGTGCAATACAGAAACTTGTTGGAGGGCAGCCGGCAACTATCTAGCATGTCAAACACCCTTGCAACCCTGTGGACCCACTTATAGGAAGGGATTCCACACCCACTGCACATGGGCACAGACACTGAATGGCACACAGCACTTGGCAGCAGAAGGCTGAAGGCAAGCTAGATGTTCGTCAGAGGGGATCAGTTAAAGCACTGTGGTACATTCACAAGGGGAACTAACATGACGGGGGCACTCAAAACCCACATTTATATGTGCTGATACATGGCAAGATCTGTAAGGGGCACTGATCCATGAAAAGCAAAACAGTAAGACATGAACACACAGTATGGCTTGCATTTGTTAGATGACATATAGACAGATAGACAGAGAGACTGATTGACAGTGCTGCG